TCCTACTTTCAATTTAAAGTGAGATTTATTTGTCAGTAAAAAAACAAACCAAAACAAAATGTTTTTCTGTTGCTACTTTAAGCAATAGCTAGCTTAGCTTAACAGCTAGAAACAGAACGATGTAGCTAGCTAAAATAATACAAAAGTACTTTGGTGATTGTGCAAGCCTAAAAAATAAAGAAGTATGGCAATAATTAAGGTTTAAAAATGCATATTTATTTAATGTTTTAATCAATTTATTGATTAAAATTTTCACAGATCCAAGCAATTTGTTCCCCTTGTTTCAACTGTTTTGTGTAAAAATATGAAAGCAGTACCTCATACTGTTGCTTTCATGTGACTGTGTTTGTGCAGGCTCGCTCTAAGGATGAAGTCAGATTCAAAATTATTCCTGCATACTCCAGGGAAGAAATGTCAACAACTAAGCAAAAGGTACAAAGAATATTAACCATAACACTCATATTAGCGTGCGTTGTGCATGGACATTAGCATGCGATGCGGCTGCATGGAGAAAACTGTCCACCTGGTTTCAGTAAAAAAAATGTATGAAATCAGCGATATCTTGTGTGTTGGGTTATATTTTGTGTTTCTGCCACAATGCTGTCACTGCTGCTGCAGGGTTCTCAAGAAGTAAGCACAGATCAGACCGTCAAGGATAAGACGCTAACGTCATTACAACTTACAGCTTTTTATCATTTAAACGTTTAAACTGCACTGACTCAATTTAACATCAACAATGAATCCCTACCTTATGTGGAAAAATTCAAGTTCAACAATCTTAGCTAGAACTAATTGTAGGCCATCTTCACCACACAGAGTGTATGTCCAAGCTGGAAACTGTTAGAGCAGCTAGAGAGCATTTGCAATGGATTAAGACAAATTATTTTCAGTGATTGTGGTCATTTCTCAAAACTGACACCAACATATGCGAAGAAACACCAGCGCAGTCCATTGCCAGGATACAGAAGTTCCTGAAGCTGCTGTGGAAAAACAGAAAAAAGGCATTGTGTATTTTCCTTTCACCAGCTTGAAGGCTGAATAATGTCATAGTTTTCTTTCCTCAGCTGTTTGTGCGAGCTCTGTTTGACTATGATCCCAATCAAGATCCTAGCATTCCATGCAAGGACGCTGCACTCACCTTTAAAAGGGGTGACGTCCTCCAGATTGTTAGCATGGAGGATGACACCTGGTGGCAGGCCTGTCACCTCGAGGACAGCAACAGTGGAGCTGGGCTCATCCCCTCGAAGGAGCTGCATGAAAGGTCTTTTTCCTGCTTTTAAGTCACTTGACTTTAAAATTCTGAATGGACACATCTATCCTGCTTTCATTCTGCCTTTCTTTTTTTTGGCTTACTACAGAAGAGTCGCTCTACAGCGACCCAAAGCTCTGTTCCAGCCTCAAAGAGTCAAGCCACCAGGTGATGCACCCCTTTGGCCCATAAACTCACCACACG